TTTCTATTCCAGTTTTCACCAGGCGATCATGGCAGATAACGTGGAAAGATTGGATCGATCTTCTTACAGCGAACAATCCGTCACGTAAAAGAGAGCACTGTATTTTTCATTCTCAGTATTATTAACAACTTTCTCTAGACAAACTTCGATCCTATGTTGTGTAATTATTGTAGATATATTTTGCCACCAGGGAGGATGCTGCATATACAACGTATCCGTGCATACTCTGGGTATGATCAAGCAGCTGAATTTTCGCCGTAATATTATGGAATGAGGTCCTCGCCTATGAATATGATGCCACCTCAATTTGCTCCTGTTCCACTGCGGTGGGATCCTTGTCTAAGTTCGATTTCATGACGTTGATAATACAGCGCGCGCGAATGTTGAAAGATCAACTTGAGTTATTTGAGCCGGTATAAACACTGGACGAATATACCAAGGTTAAGTAACTTGACCTTAGTAACTGTTTACCTTGGTAAAAGCTCAAATGTAAACACAGCATTTGCCGTCCTCTGCAAAACAACAACGTGAAATGACCAAATTCTGCGTTGCCTGGAGAACGTGAACCATGACGGCTAATTTTTAACTTTTTATTTCAAATTTATCGCTGTATCCCACATTCAGTTTTGTGATAGGTAGTTTTGACAGAGAGAAAAACAGAGAGAAAAGAACTCTACGACTTTAGAGTAACTAACGCGAGATTCGTGGGTAAAATATAAAATCCACGACGCCGTCGTGGTAGCTCAGACTCCCAAATACTTTGACCTTGTAAACATAACCTTACTGCGGTCTCCAAGAAGGGAATTAATATATTTACAAAATTTTTTAAAAAGTTTATACTGTACTTTATACCTCTCCAAGAACCAACATCAGTGCGTCACCAAGCAGAATAACGAACGCTCACCTTTACCTTCTAAGCCTTTAACCCAACTATTAAATCATGCCAATAAAAAATAGTGTGTTTAAAAACTTACCTAGACCGCAGGGAGATAACAAATTTGTCTACAACGGACTTAATTCTGTTGTTATCAGCAAGTGCATTTGGTTTCGTCCAGTACGGTCTAAAGTCGCTTTTCATCATGTCCGTGTCGTCTTGTGGAAATACATGCGACTCGTTTGCCATCCAGTTCCAGGCAGCTTCATACTTACTGAGTTTCCTTCGCACCAGAAAGCTAGGGCTGTACGTACAACTCGGAATAGAGTTAATGTAGTCTTTCTTGTTAAAGAGTGGAAGCCGATAAAAATAGTATAAAGTGCTCTTGCTCTGAAATGAAGTAATGTTTTGTCTGCCTGCGTGTGGGGGAATTGTTTCGTGATTGCTATTGGCAGAAAAATTTGACAAGTACCTCGAAGAAATAATTTCAAACGATGTATTTCTGTAAGACCAATATACAGCAACATGAGCGGCGCCAGCACCTTGCTTACTCAATGACTCGATGTAATATTTCTTGCCGGCGTGAAGAAGGATTTCTTTAGAAATTTGCTCAGGATATTTCTTGTAGTCTCCTTCTGCAGTCCAAGCCGATCCATCAGGCGAATAAACCCGCGCGATCATCTCGCTTGAAGCGGGATCTTCATTTCTACTCAGCCACAACTCTGATGTATCATCTGATGTGATGGCAAACTTGTACATGCCGCTTACCTGCGGATGAACAAATCCAAAAATCCTTTCTCCACTATCTACACTGGGAAGCTGAGTTCTTCGAAATTTCGAAACAAAAGAACGTTGGCTTGGAAAGTAAGGGAAATGAGGCCAGTTTCTTAAAGTATCGACGCTCATTCCGCATATTTCAGACCACATGTGAACGTTCAAACTTCCGAAAGACGTCGAAATATCGCGCTCAAGTTTTCGCTCGGGCGTTGACGCTTCTGTTTCTTTGGCGATATTATCCTCAGTGGTTCGTGTTGATGCACAAATACAGTCGTGTGAAACATTTGCAGAGCTTGGTTTCTCGACCACTGGTATAGAAAATCTTACATCAGGAGCGACGAAAAATATGAAACATCCTATGAAAGGTAGTACCACCAAAACTAAAAAGAGAAGACGTCGCTTAAGGAATAATCTTCGCAAGCGAAAATTAACCGACCATACCGCCATTGCTGAAGTTTCCGCGTTTCTGTGCAAAGCACGTTTCGGCAAAGCCACGCATTTCCGGTCAGTGGTCTTCCGTGGCAACTGTGGAACGAGCGCGTGAATGTATGCGTGTGGAATGTGTGAGTAATGCAAATCAGTTTCATAACTTGGGTGTGTAACATTTTCAGTATCGGTTAGTCGAATAAATGGACTCGTCGAGTAAAAGTCGTCTCTTGAAAACTATATGGTGTCAGGAGTAAAGAAAATCCGCATCGCCTGGTCTCTCTGACAATCTAACAGTCAATTATGCGTCAGTCAATTCCAGCAGTGCCCATCCCCCCGGGCTAACTACCCAAGCATTAGCATTTTTTTTTTTTTAATAAATGGGCAAATTCCCCAGGGTGGGGACGAAGAAAGAGGGCAAATGCCCCGCCCCCGGGATCGTCGCCCTCCAACACCTCTGCAGTTTTTTTATTAATCAGTGAATAAAACGTTCAACTGTTCAGTATTTTAATGCAACGGTAAGACTTCAAGGACAACAGTACGTGTTAATTGATTCTGATTATATTTATTTCTTTATATTTTAACAGTTTGCTAGAGGATAGCTGGGATCACGGCGGACGTGCCTCCAGCCGCGAGCGATGATAGTTGCCTGTTTTTGCAGGCTACTTTTTCTGAGAAGAATCAAGACATTTCAAATGATGATGCATTGCATTTTAAGCTCGCAAGATCTGTCTTGAAGATCGCA